CAGTGTCCCTGAGCGGCCTCCTCGCACCGGGAAGCAGGCGAATGCTTGAGCTCGGAAGAACTTGCTGCCACTCGCGGATCCCGCCAAAAATCTGAAGGCGTTCTCGACGCGAGCCTCCACCAATCAGCTTCACCCTCCCGAATCTAAAAGGATCTTGATACATGGGGCCGAACTGGGACGTGGTGGAATTCTTCAATAATAATAATCCACCACAGTAGTCCTCCGCCTGCCAAACCTAATATCTCAAGCCCCGGACTCCTATTGAGGTTTCGGTCGGGTTCTCTCCGGCAGCGGCGCGGGCGGGAGCCCTCAGTGGTATCGGATCCTATCTCACGCTCCTCTCAGACATTGCCGAAGCCAGATCCCATATCCTGAGAGCCTCCGCTCCTAAGTACGTCCTCGCATGGCCTTGACCCACATGCTTGCCCTTCCCTCCAATGGCAACTGGAGGCGCTTCCCTGCTGCTGAACCTCCGGCTTGTTTGATTCATGCGGGGAATCCTTCCGAGAGGCGGAATATTCCACAGAATACCACGGCTGAGGGGAATCTTCTCGATCGAGCTGAAGAACCAGTCTCTTCTACATACATCGACTCTTCCGTCGTCTACCTCTCCCCCGCTAATCCGAGTTTACCCTGCGCAAACGGACCGTGGGGATCGTATTCATGTTTTCGCTCTGAATCATATTATTCTCGTGTCTGCTCCCGATTCATTTCCGAGCGGCAACCTTGACATTTGAGATCGAGCTCATGCGTGTTTCTTTCTCTATGCATTTGAAGGTCATGTTGCCAAACCTCCGCAGCTCTTTCCTACGTAAGCTCCGTTGGGGGACTGATCCCATGGTCCATTGCTCTTAGGGTCGATACCGGCTCTGGAATTCGCTCGTGCGTTCCGAACAAGCGATAAATCTTCGCGAGGAATAAGAGATCGTCGCAAGACTACCCAGGTGCTGGGCACCTGCAATGTTGCTCCGCAAGGCGACGTCAACGAGCTTATTGTTCTTGTTGTTGTTGTTGAAATCGTCTACGGCAGCTGCAGCGAGAGAGGGTTGAAGTCGGGAAGTGTGGAAGCGATTGGACCACTGCCATCCGCAGCAGGCCGCTTGCGAAACACGGAAACCCAGACCGACGGAAGAATGGGCCTCGTGGATCGATGCGCGATTCAGGACTACGAGACATGGGCGGGCCCTGGTATCCTTTCCTGCTTGGTAGGCTGGCTGGCTGGTTGACGGTTCGCCTCGCAGACTAGACTGGGTGAGAGAAGTCTCAATGGACGTGCCAGGAGAATGAGTTCCCCCCGGAGGGGACGCACGAGCGAAAGAGAGCTGGAACGAACGAGAAGTTTCCAACAGACGGGAGGGAGGGACGAAGGCAGGCAGGCAGGCAGGCAAGAGACCTTGGAAATCTCGAGGGGAAGAGGCGCAGGGACGGAGGGAAAATGGAAGCTGGAAAAGGGTAAAGGAGCAGTAGTGGTAGTCGTCTCGGACGACGGCGGGGAAGGAGGGCAAGATCGCTCGAGGGGTGGGCAGTCCTGCTTCTAAAAATAGAAGCAGCTCCTTTTTGGGTGTGGAGGGGTCCTTCCTGGTGGCTTCCCTCCGTCTCCCCCTTCCCCCTTTTTCCCCGGAAGCCCCGTTTCATTCAGCTTCTATCTCCGGTCGTACGTTTCTCGTCTGTCTGTTGCTCCCATTCTCGGTCTCTCTTCCTTCGCTCTTCTTTTCCTTGCGCTCTCTTGCCTGTCCTCACATTTACGCAATCCGCGCTCGAGCAGAGGAATCCTGACGACACTGTCTCGTCACTGCGATCTCCGTCTGAAGATCCATTGAGGAAAGAATCACGGAATCTACCGAGCAGGATTGCTAGAACAATCGGTGGATCTTGACGCGCTCGGATCAGCGCTGACAATCTTATGGGATATCATTCATGGGCTTTTGTCATTCGGCGGGTCGCCGGTCTGTCAGCCGCTTTGGCAACTTCCTGACCGATCGACCTTGAGCGGTGTCATAATTTCGTCGCGTCGCTGTCATCAATGGTGCCATTGCCATCAATCCGAATCGTGAATACTGTCGCCGAACCCTCTCTGATGTAATGTTTGACTAGAAAGTGATCTGATGGAAGCAGACCTTTCTCGGACATGGTTGAACCGCCTGACCACTAAGCGGCCAACGATCTCCCGAACAGTCATCATCGCCAAGCGCAGCTCCGATCTCTGCGAGAGCGGCGAACACCCAACGTCCGAGCTCGGGGCTACCACCGCGCGCCCATGCGGGAATCTCGAGGTGTGTGCGAGGGATTGCGATTCCGAGGGTGCTTCCGAACCTGGGTCAATGTCGGACGATCACCCCCGTGTTTTGTCGTCGCTGCTGTTGTCGGATACTCGCGAAATATACATATCTACACCCGGGACGGAACTCGAGTATCCCTTGCGAATTTTTCGGTGCAGTCTCGAACGCGGCCTTCGCCGACGATAGAAGGATATTGTAGATAGCCTACTTCCCAGTCTCTTCGGACGGTCGTTCGTTTCCCGTTCGAATCGCGAGTGCCCGCCGCGCCGCCGTCTTCGTGGCTGCCGTCAGCGTTGCAGCGGATGCGCATGCGCGCAACTCGGCCCGCTGACACCGATGCCGCTGCAAGCTATGCTTCCCCCTCAACCGGCAATGAAACGACGACGACGTCTAGCCTAGCTACCAGCCTTCCGGACGGCTCTCTGGCGAGCGGCACGCACCGACGGTCGGACGAACAGACAGATAGACAGACCGAACACCCTGCTGCAAGCCAAGAGCTGAGGGAGAGGGAAAAACGCAAGGCCGTCCGTTCGCTCATTCGACCGACCCTGCGGGAAGGCAGCGAGCGAGTGAGTTGAGAAGGGTGAATGGACTCGCCGGATGAATGGCGTAGTGTGATCAGCGTAGTAGAGCCCTGAAGCCGTCTTGCTTCCAACGCCCGGGTATTGTCCACCCGACACTTGAATGCTATTCAGCTCGATGCCAATCTGCTGGCAACATCATGTTGGAGAACTTCGAAGACAGTGTTTCGCGGGCGAATCTATTTGTACAGCGATATTCTTCAGCACTGTCTCTAGGGAGCGGCGCGGCGGTCAGAGGAGATATCGGTAGGCTGGTCCATACCTGCCCCAGCTGATGGACTTGTCAAAATGAGCGTCGGACTTCCGTACGGCAAGATCGAGTTTAGGTTCGAGATCGGTCCACTGCGTGGCCGGTCGAGCTCGACTATCGTAGTATATTGTTCCGTGAACTGGACTCCGAACAATCGAGTTCGGAAAGGCCTTCTCGAGCTAGCTGGCAATGGCGGGTTCACTCAGAATGAATGATTGTCGCAAAGGATTCGATCGAAGACGACTGCTGTGGGAGATTGTGGCCCAGATCGATCTATTCGCGAAATTACTCACTCGAACTCCGGCGTCGGATTCGAGCGGATTAACACAGCACAATGTCCACTGTGCTCCGCGGCAACGATATGTTTGGATGGACTCATGTACGTGCATCGGAGCGAGCGTCCGGGAGCGACCTATTCGATTTCTACCCCAAGCGCCTTCTGAAGTCGTATGGCGATTGATTAGTACGGAAATCTTGATTGAAATATCAATCTTCAGGCTCCCGAGTGGAAATGATGAAAACGCCGACCTTGTTGTTGCTCACGCGACGATAGATGAGGGCGCGGCGGTGCATACCCCGATGACGAGGCATCTGTTTATTTCGATGGTGATTTTCCTTTGAACTCCACTCAGATTTCTATCGTTTCCTTATGAGTCTTCCTTGAGTCACATGACGTCATGTTCGACCACAGCCGAGGGGAAATCTCGAGCGACGTGCGAAGAGCAGAAACAGGAGCCGTCCGATCGTACTATGTATTCAGGTATTCAGTCATCGTAGTCTTCGATCCACTCTGAATAATCCTCCCGGTTCGGTTTCGTCATTTAAACAAAGGTCGATCGATATCGACCGATGAGGTGTCGACAAGATTTCCTCGATTACGTTTGAGTTCTAGAAGAACAGGCATCGATCGCTTGTTAATTCGTAACCACCGTAAACGACCACTACGAACGTGCGGCAATTAGAGCGTGAGTCGTCGCATGAATGGTAGTAGCAGTCGTAGTGGTGGTCGTGGTGGTGGTGGTGGTGGCGAAGGTGGTCGGTCGGTGGGTCCTATGCCGGCAAGCTGGCTGGCTGTCTGACACTGTGGCGAACGTTTCACACGCCCTGTCACCCTCCGCTCAAAGGTCGCTGCTGTTCGAACCGCCAGTGGTTTTCGTTGATATTGGCGCTGCTGTGGTCTTCGCAACAACTTCGTCGGCATCAACGCAAGCCCGGTCAACGACATCGTGCTCCGCTGCCGCTGTCGGCAATGGCCCCAGTCTTGGCTGGCGTACGACAATGGCGTATGGGCTCAAATCCTTGTACGGTTTTCTTACCCGAGCGTTCTAGAGACGCACGACAAACAGAAAAAAGGGTCGGCGTATGGGGAAGGGTCAAAACCGCGAGACGCGAGGCGACATCAGAAGGACCGTGGAAGAAAAACATTCCCGTTCCGCGGATCCGAGCGGGCCAGTAGCTGCGCGAAAAACATTTCGGTCACAAGCAGTCCGGAAAAACCGGGACAACGGGCACTGTGTTTTTTCCTTGTTGGGAAACAGAAAGACGGGAGAATGCGAGCAGCGAAAGATTTGATAAAAAAGGCCCGGCGTCGATTCCAGAGTTTCTGGGCGGAATCATGGATCGTTCCGAAAACCCGGGGAATCTCGCGATCGGAAGCGCAGTCTTCCCGCTTCGTCTGCGGTCTGACTGAGTGATCGTCGTGACGATTCTCGCTCGTGACACGCGTCAGCTCATTGACACGATCTGGTTTCAATTTCTGAGAATCTTCTGAAATAAGTCCGTGACGAACGGTTCATCCATCGATTCGTCGGATTGATTTGCGTCGACATCCATCAAATTTCGAAACCCCGAGTCGAGCAAAAGAGTTGACAGAAACCTCGTCTATTACAGGTGGCTTCCAACAGTTCCAACATCAGTATCCTCATCTCTGCGTGACTGGACCGAAGAACCCAGTCTCGACGACGCCCGGCTCGCCTTCGTACTGGCCCTCAGCACTCTCCCCTCTATCGTCGTTATCGAGGAGTTCTTCCTCCCCGTCATTAGCGTCAACCAAGAACCTGCCTTGGTATCAACAAGACCAACAGGATCCCGTCGAGATCCTACCTTATTTGTTTCTAGGAAGCGAAAACCATGCCAGCAATAAACTCACTCTTCAAAGGTGAAGCATTTCCTCCCGGCACAGAGCCCAGTGGATCAATAGAATTCATGGCGGAAGTCATCACGACGCCTGATATGAGAACACATGCGATAGTACTGATGTCGCCAGCCCCTGTCAGGACGCCTAATGGCAGCGAACTTATCGATTTCTCGTCCAATGTTTTCAGACTGAAAATCACCGCGCTGTTGAATGTCTCTCACAACTGTCCGAATCACTTCGAAGATCTATTCCGATACATGACGATACCAATCGAGGATTCAACTAGTGAAGATATCGGCATCTGGTTCCGGAGAGCCATTGAATTTATAAGTGAGTACAGCCCTCGAGCGGAATGTAAAATAGGTAACTGTTTCCTCCCTCACAAATCGGATCGCATGCGAGGAGCTGCGGGAGAAGGCGCGAGAAATCCATTTTTCGGGAGCTGGTTCGGGTGAATTTATCACGTGAATCGAGATCCACGAGAATTTCTGGCGGAGCTCTATATGTCCCGGAAGCCATTTGCGCGGAAAGCCGATGGAAACTTACGCCAAGCTGCCGGATCGAGACTCTCTCAACTCGGGACATGGGAATTTATTCGTTTACGGCGTAGTTCCGGCCGAGGAATTGCAGGCCGCAGCGAGCTACGTTGATTCAGATGGCGTAGCCAGTCAGGTCTGATCTGAACCACACGACTAGATTGGGCTCAGCACGCTCCGACCCGCTGCTGCTCGTTTACGCCGAGCTCGATTCACTTCCGCCGAGTGTTTGGCCTAGGAAGCGAGCCATGAGATCGCAACGGATACGGCCGCGGTAGCCACCTTCCGCACCAACACTTGCGACCGATGCGGTCGGAGACGTATCGCGAGCTGGCGCACCGTAGATCTGCCGCGTCAGCTGTTCTCGAGGAACGGAACCAAGTGAAATAATCCAGGTGAACTAGAGGGAGCTCGAACGGAGCCTTCCGTTTCGAGCGCTCCCATTCTTCATGGTCTCGAGATGGAAGTGTAGGAAACAGGCTCCGGCTCGAGAGCCGGAGGTTGGCCGCCTACAATGGAGCCATGACTCCATCAGGAAATCCTATTGGGAACTTTCGCTCGCCCGGTGTCCACCGAGGTGGGAGTCTCTCCCTACAGACTCGTTCAAGCTCGCCCAGCCCACCCTGGATACGTCTCCGGGGATTTCCCCAACTTCGTTCTCCGATGAAAATTCCAAGAAGAGTTCCGTCCGATCTTCCCCCCCCCTTCCCTGTCTTGTGCGAGAGGGTCCAAAGCCACCTTGGAATCAGCGGTCGACACTGGATCAGGATCGAAAACGCAACGATTATGACCGCGACCGTATCGAGAGCGGACATTCCCTGAGTTCGGGCCGGCCAATCGCTTTTACTGATCTCGAGATCGTCAATAGAGCACATCGAAAAATACAAAGTCCCCGACGACGAGGAAGCCACCTTTGAACCACGAGTAAAACTAATTGTTCTCCCTTTATTCCAGATGACGTCAACTCGTCAGGTGGGAAAGTCCTTGTGCATTGTCATGCCGGTATTTCTCGGTCGGCGACCATCTGTATGGCGTATCTGATGGCGACTTTGCGACTACGGATGGAGGACGCCTATGAGCACGTGAAGGCTCGGCGGAAAATAATCTCGCCCAACTTTTCGTTCATGGGTCAACTGCTTTCGTTCGAAAGTCAGGTATTCTCGCCGCGGCCAGCGCAGAGATCGCCAAGGTCTCCACTGACAAGCATACCCTGCAACAATAACAATTCGACGCAAGCCTCCCCGTCACCTCGAGTTGATTCTCCGAAAACTCCATCGGAAGGAACGGCTTTCGATTTTTCGATTTCGCCGTCGACGTTGGCGTCCCTAGTGAACAGCTCCACGGCTGGTTCGGCCAGTAGTCCGAGTCCTACCCCGTCCCCGACGACACCTTTGTGCCCGTCGAGTCCTTACTCCCCCTAGGGGTAGCAGAAAGAGGAACAGGAGAGAGATGCGGGAACGAGGAGGGAACAGGTGGCGCTGACACATCGGTCGTTTGCCATTCCGCCCGCCTTTATTCCCGCCCCCGTCCCGCATACCAACTTGTTTTCCACCACGCGCTTTGAACGTATGGACGGCAGAGCAATTCGATCCTCGAGTCGAAGATGTTGCCAGGAGCGAATGTTCAATCGAAGAACACGTCGACGGCTGCCTGAGGAACTATGGCGGCCATGCCGATCGAGTTCCGATGTCATCTGGTATCCTGAGGAAAGACAAGGAGCTCTCCCGTTCAGAACCACTATTCGTTGGATGTCTGTACACAATCAACCTGTATATAGATAATGGATTTCATGACTGAGATGAAAGGAATAACTCTGCTTAGGCTGTTCGGATATACCGATGCTAGGAAGATGAAGTGACAACCGAGTTTGAAGCGATTCGTGTTGGGCAATGAACCGTGGCGAGCTATGTCTCAGTTCGAGTCGGAATGAGCTCGGACAGAGCTGACGTGCGACTGAGAAACGAATGAAAGAGGAAGTCATTATATATTTGATTGCGAAAGGAAATATGATTCTGTCTGTCCGAGCTCATGCCCTGGAATGATGAATGAGCGGGAGTGTGACCAGCCACAAACTGTTGACGAGCGTATTGATAATATTATTATTATGATGATAGAGTATATAGTATATTTATAAATATATATATGTATACGATAGACTATGGTTCGAAAATTGTCTGTGGGTCCGGAATTCCCTGGATTCGAACGCTTGGAAATCAATGACTCGTCACCGTTCTGAGCGTGCTGCTCACGCTCACGGGCTTCGATTGGGACAGTTCGTATGGATTCGTTGTGCTAGATTTTTTTCCTTCGTTCCGCCGAAATGTGGAACCAATGCCAAAACATGAAGAGGAGTCAAATTCAGGAAGTCAGTCGAACCCGAGAGGTTTGTTTGTTTCGGTTCAAAACTTCTCTCGGGTTAGACATTTTCTTCTAAGGAGCTCGGCGATAGGTCCGAGTTGATCTTTGGCCCGGATAGTCAAATTATATATCCGTTTGATTAAATGACCAGTTGAGGAGAGACGACCGCAAATAGTGAAACCACGGAACAATAAGAGTAGGGAGACGTTCGAGTGTCCGGGAGGACGTTCGAGACAAATCGTTTGGAAAGTTTGAAAAGTACAAATAAAATCATATGATCGTGGAAATTTCTATGAAGCTCTCGGATTTTCATTCAGCCATCGAATCATTCGTTCTCTCACTTACCGCTTAGCATGGCATTTTTCTACAATGAGCTCGAGCTGAGAATCGCTCCCTCTCGAGAGGAACTTCGCTGCAATCCTCAGTGATCGTGCCCTCGATAATCTCTGGAAATCAGAATCGGTGCTTCATTGATCCCGGTCCTCGAAAGTTACACCAAGAACTTCCATCATTGGAGGGTCAGCTCAAAGACGGGAGTCGACGACTCCTGGAGGTCTTTCACGGACGAGCGGGGCAGAAGTCCGAAGATGCTCGATTTTGGAATGCCTAACTCCAATCAGTAGTCTCTTGGGAGCAATCGAAGAGCTCAGGGACGATTGGGATGCTGTTCCTGCCGAGAGACTCCAACGTCCCTCCCGGAGAACCCGGGACCATCTATTTGTCACGAGTCACCAGCCACTAGCCTATTCTTCATCACTTCGCCAGTCCTGTGGAGCTGGTAGTCTACGACCGCATTCATGGTCGAGAGCGCGGAGCAATCGATTCTGGAGTTCTAGGACCGTAGGTTTCACGGCGGATGAGGCCAAAATCACGACGGATCAAACCTGAATTCCGCCACTCGCCGCGATCCTGCTGTGATCCTGGATTGATCCTCCTGATTCTGAGTTGGCCCGCGTGATATGACGCGACTGACTATTAGAATCGAGAAATGGAGGGAGGGATCGCGCGGTTCCGGTCAAACTCTCAGCAAAGATCATCGATAGCATCGTCTATCCTTTCTCTCATCGAGAGCTTCTCCATTTTCTCGCGGTTCTACCCCGCGCACTTCATGGTCGCTCCTCCCATAGGCGTGATCCAGGCGAAAGAATTGGTCACCTATCTCAAGCACACGTAAGAGCGTGCAAAAGCACCTCTACAAAGCGTATGAGCGTACAGGCCGGATTTCATGTTTTGGTCTGGCTGTTCATTCCATTGTTATTGTTATTGTTGTTCTGCACGTGCGCAACAGTCTGTGCTGTTGAATCGAGTTGAACGCGCCGGAATGTCTCGTAGTTGAATTGCTAGGACACTATTTTAGACTCCAGGCGGTCATTATGGTGAGATCCGCCACCGGTTGCTTTCTTCGTATGATGAAGCATCCTCGCTCAGGGAGGGAGATAGTTTTGAAGGAGCACTAGTGCCAGAGTAGAGGAGCGAAAGCCTGACGATTCCTCGACGTTTCCAGGCGCCTATTTCAACGAAAGCATCGAACCCCAAAGGGGGAAAAGGTCTGAAGGGCCTGAAAAAGAAATTCAAGGCATCGAAGAGCAAGGTTAGTTCATCCGAGCTGCGAGGAGCTCCTGGGAAGATGGAGTGCCCACATAGGAGATCGAAATTGACGTCTCCGATTCTAGCTGTTCACAACCAGAGCTTAATAATTCATTGTTCAATACAGATTCTTAAAAAGTATCGTGATCACAGCGGCACCGATACCGGGAAGGACCTCCCACAGGAAGACCCGTTCCCAGGTGAAATTCGTCTCGCGGAGCGCAATCGTTCTTAAATTCTTGAAGATCGGAGAAAGCTGTAGACTTCGGCTCCTAAATTCCTAATCGCTGAACGAGCGTATTGAATTCCAGAGAATATTTCCCTAACTCGAGTTGATGACTTCTTCAGGTGAAGCCCCTGTCAGCGAAGAGGCGAAGAAGAAATTCGGTCGAGTCGATGACGAGGAATTGGTGAGCGTGTGATTCGAACCAGGAACAGAAGATCGGGCGAATACTGCTGACCATGGAATAACATCGCGTCGACCGTTGAAACAGATTCTGCGTTTTTTTCCAGAATGCTCTCAAGAAGAATCGTCGTGCAAAATTCCGGAATCTAGCGAAAAAGATCGAGCAGACTGTCAGGTTCGCTGCTAGATCCGAAATCCTCCTGCCCGAAGATCACGGTACTGTACCTCTAGAGTCTAGCGTTGAGAGAAGCCGACAGCGAGTGGGGACACTCGGGCCGGACTCTTATGTCGATGGAGCTGTGGCTATTCGCTGAATTTTATACATTTAGCAATCTTCGACAGGTTATTTGGAAGCGGAGAAAGGCGAGAAGACCTACCGTTATACTCAGAATGAAATTCAAGAGAATGTCGATATCACCAGTGCTTCAAAGGTGTGGAGACTTCTCATTCATATCGCAGCGCTGATCATGAAATATCGATACCGCGATGAAATCGGACTTCCTAGTCTCATCTTAAACATTTTCCTCGCAGAGATTCACTCTGGATCTCTCCCAGTTTGGACCGTACGTGTCGAACTACTCCAGGGAAGGTAGACACTTGCTGCTGGGAGGCCGAATGGGGCATTTGGCCGCCTTCGACTGGTTGACGAAAAAACTACTCTGTGAAATAAATGTGATGGAAAGCGTGCACGCTGTCCAGTGGTAGGTTCATTCGAGGAGACACGGAGTAGCCCGCGACATTTTTGGCGGAAAATACTTGCAGGGTTCATCGGGGATGACCTCTAATCGTTATCCCTTCCTCCAAGGCTGCATCAGCCGACAATGTTCGCTGCCGCTCAGAAGAAGTGGACCTATATTTATGACACGGAAGGAATAGAATTGCACTGTTTGAAAGCCCTCAATAATGTCACCTCGATGGAATTCCTGCCGTATCATTTCCTGCTCGCTGCAGCCTCGGAGAGTGGATTCCTGCACTGGGTCGACATCAGCATTGGAACAATGGTTGGACGGATCAATACGAAAACCGGAAGAATACCATTCCTGAGGAAGAATCCAACCAACGGTGAGTCTATGAAGGAGTTCATTCGCGTCCGAGTCCTCCAATTGACCCGTCGCGACGGGCGTTGATTGCAAATATCTCAATGATGATGTGCATCAGTCAACGAGCTCTGAATTCTCTCTCGATAGGCATCGTATTGACGGGTCATCAAAATGGTGTCGTGCGGATGTGGTCGCCCAACTCATCGACAAACGTCGTTGAGCTCCTCGCCCACAAGAGCTCAGTCACCGACGTAGTCGTAGACCGAGGAGGCAGCCATATGATAACTTCGGGACTGGACAGGTAAGCTCGCGTCCCATGTCCTCGATATTACGCGGGGGAATCTAACAATGACATCCTTTAGGATTCATCGGTATCGGGTTTCTTATTCGATCTGATTGAACGTCGAATATCCCCATCGAGAGTCAGCCTTGAGGACAACTGAATTTTTGATGCAGATCGATAAAAATCTGGGATCTCCGCATGCTGCGCCCGATGCATTCTTACACGATCGGGAGAGCCCCCACACACCTAGCGTTGTCCGATAAGAAAATGTTGGCCGTTACGCTCGCGAACCAAGTAAGAAGAATCTCCTCGGAAATGGAATCGGGCTCCATCAACCAAGCGTTAAGCACTTTTTCGAAATCGATTTGTTCTTTTTAGGTGGAAATCTACCGGGACATACTATCGGGTACCGAAGAACCCTATCTCCGGCATCAAGTCGCCTCGACCGTTATGACAGCACAGTTTTGCCCCTTCGAAGACGTTCTGGGTTTGGCTCATGGGAATGGATTCGATTCGATTCTCGTACCAGGTGGGCGCACGTCAATTATGGGAATCTCCGATGTTGAGCTTCTGCTGTTATTGCTGGGGATCGATGCTTGTCCGAGTTGGGTGTGCTATGAACGCGCTCCTGATGACGTTCTCTATTCCTCCAGGGTCTGCGGAGGCCAACTTCGATTCGTACGAGATCAATCCCCTGATGAATAAGAAACAGAGACGAGAGGCCGAGGTGAAACTCCTCCTGAACAAAATTCAACCGGAGATGATATGCCTGGATCCTGACGAGATCTCTCAAGTCGACGTTCTTAAATTGCGCGAGAGAATCGACGCGTCGAAACAAGTCCTGGTCAGTACGAAAATAAGAGCTGGGAGAATGATCAGTTCCCGCTTGATTCCATCCGCTTTAACGAGATTCAAATTAGAATGCGTTGAATTTTATTAAATAATATATATAGATCTTGTCTTGGAGATGGTGTCTGAATCTTATCAACCTATGCCAGCGAGGCCATCGGCATTCGGTGATGATCCGAGGACTGCTCCCGCATTTCCCTTCTGCACCTCGATGGATATCCTCTGTAGGAGAAACCCTTCAGCTCCCTTATCCCCTGATGACAATTTGATCCGGTTTCCCACTCCCGGAGGGAGGCCTCTGAAGACTCTCCTATGACTCCCAGCGTTTCGATGGCGACCGGCTGAACAACGAAACGATTTTCGAGCTCCTTATATTTCGAAAACTTTGTTTTCTCTGCCAGTTTGGTCACCTCACCCGCAACACGGACCGCGACCGGTGTGATGGGGCCAACGTGTCCCATACTGTCGCATCCCTGACCAGTGGTCTACCTGCGAACCACGAGTTACGCGAGAGGCCCGTTGGCTCCTATTCGTTCGGAATTTTCGCGGTCCGCAAGGCGTTAGAGATGACGGCGTTCAAGGCTCTGTGACGCGAGTGACGGCCTAAACTGCGCGGTTAGCTCAGACCGTGTTCACCTAGAGCGGAGACCGGACCCGTACATCTCGCACAGGCATGTGGAGAGCATACAGGGAGTCCCAATCGGAGACCGGCAGCGATGCGGAGTGAGTTGTTGTCCAGCATCGTGCCGATCGGAGGGGATGGGATGGCATAAACCATTTACCATCTGCTTGTTTTAGCGAGAGCTTAGATCGACGTAAGCTTCGGTGCGCTCCCTCAGAAGGCCACATCAAAGTTCCGATGTGAATTTTCGATGAACAATGACTTTCTCGGGCCGCTCCGCTCATCATTGCTTTAGACTAGATAGAGATTTGAACGAGTTACAGCTGCGATCGCCGAATGCGAAAGGAGAGAACGGTATCCGCCCTACAGAACTACATCAGTGCCTTTCGATCCAAAATCGAAGTACAGCGTACCTTAGTATCACTTAGTATCACATGAGTTGCGAGGTCAAGTGGTAGGCTTTTTCGTCAATCAATCGGCAGAGGGGTGGAAGATGAGAGAGAAAACATCAACCTGCACGCCGGGGGATCATTCCGCAACCGCCGAACCACCTGTGCGCCGAAATTGGAGGGCAGAAAGAGCCGAAAAACGGCTTATAAACGAAGCGCTTGCGCTTTTATTCTATAGGGGGACTGTAGGAGGGGATGCGTTTATTGAAGGACATGATCACTCATTCGTTCTATCGACCCTGTTCCTCTTTCCCGAATATGCGTTGAACTTCTCCGTTTACACATCTCGGTACGAGCGAAGAGAGTACTCCAATCTTCACTTTCTCTTTCCAGTGGCGGAAGCCGCGTGCTCTGAACCTCGACTCCATAATGGCCAAGCGGAAAGGAACAGCCAAGGTCAGTAGAACCTCCTTTATACATATTCACGGTCCATGGTCGAGAATCCCGACACACGACTCGAGATAATGACCTCCCGACCCTAGGTTGCCAAGGCTGCCAAGCAGTACATCGAGGCGGAGCACACGCGGGCAAAGCGAGAGTTCCACGAAGAAACCTTGAAGCAGAAGAAATCGAAGAAAGTGAAAGACGCCAAGAAGCCGAACCTCGAGGGCTTCCAAGGTGTCTTGGCGAGGTTTCAATGACGAGGCCTACCGGGACTTCTTTCGGTTGACTACAATAAAGGAAAAACATACAAATAATGAGCCGTGTTGGCTTTGTCAAACAATCGCATGATATGAGGTGTGTGATTCGTGAACCTCCGCTGTGGAACGAGAAGCGAGCTTCTTTGCTCAGATGAGTCGACAAGGCTGCTGAAAACTCCGAGGAGTTACGACGGACCACCGACCGTTGGGTGTGACCGAATCGAGAGTTCAGAGTCAGCTCGGAGATCGCCTCACGGATCAGCGATATCGGACCCCCTCCAGTCGGTTCTCGTCACGTGGCATGGCATCATACCGAACAGGTCGGGCTCGAGGTGGACGAAATCTCCGATGCAGAAAATCGTGAGGCCGGCGAGGGTGTACAGCACCATGATCACGAAGCCCCTATCTCTGGAGCCATGTTGTTTCAGTATTTGGTAGCCGATCGTGAGGCCAGACAGAATGCCGAAAGGATGGGCGACGAGGAGTCTCAGGAACTCCTCCACGCTTCCGTAGGGTGCGGTGAGGCATGTTACGACCAGACTCAGCACCGAAACCGTCGGAGCGACGAGCATCTTGACGAATGGTTTCTGAGAATGAACCAGACGGGGCTTTTAGTTGAACTCTGCAAAGCTCTCTCCTGTCGCCGGAAAGGAATGAGCATACGCCGATTTGAAGAGTTGCGGCTTTCGATTGCTTACGTCGAATTCCCCCTTGTTTTTGTAAACGAGGAGGAAATGTCCCCAGAGGATAGTTTCAATCGTCGCGGTTCCTCCGCAGTAGTACGGGGTCCACAACGCGGCGGTCAGTGAACAGATTCCGAGGCTCGCAGTCGCCATCACGCCGGCGACCCGCCAGAAAGTCAGCGCGAAGGACCAGGGCAGCAGGTAGACGACGTTGACGAATAGATCCAAAATCTGTGGACGTCCAGAATCGTTTCACGAGGAGAAGAATAACGCCGCCCACCGTACGCGCGATCGAAACTATTACAGAACGTGGTGAGAAGGACGTTCCGATTACTCTGGATGCACCTATTAACAAATATCCAAATTGCTTCACTTGCCAGGCGGTATGGATTATCTTCATTGAGCGGTCCCGTGTAGAACCAATGAAGTTGGTAATGGCCCTCGGTCAGGAAGCTGAAGCTTGCATGGTAGCGTAAATAACCGAACACATTCCATGTCGGGTGTGATTCGAGGAACCTCCTCATCTGAAAGTTTTCGAGAGAGCTCACAGCTCAAATTTCGCCAGCGATACTTTTGTCAAGTCTAGAATCGGACCTAGGTCTAGATCGAATTCTCGATGAACCTCACCTGAATACACGATGTCACTTGAAGTATGATCACGACGACGACAGAAATTGGACTAATGAGACATATCGGATAATCGAGGAGTAAAAGTCGTAAGTGTCGACTCCGACGCGTCCTAGGGATGAAGACCTGGGCAAGGAATATTCATGACCGAGTAGTGCGAGGCCCCGCTCGACCGGCTGATTCTGCTCATCAAATCCATTTCCTCAGACACATGGATCTTACCTTAGCAGCGGTATTCGCGATCTTATAATACAAGGTCTGGAGGGCTCCTTTCGGAACTTTGCCGAAGCAGATAGTGAGGAACTCGTCCAAGTACATCCGGTATTCGGGGTCATCTTTGGCGAGATTAGAGAACTCGTTCCGAGCATCGTCCGAAAGCTTAATCTCATTCGCTAGGGGTGAATCGGAATAATGGGTCAGCACATCGAGCACTTCATCTTGCCAGTCGAATCGGAAACGAGCTCCGGAATAGAACCCCGGAATCGATACGACCCGGGAGTCTGTGGGCTGCTGGACGTTGCAACAACCGGTCTTCTCTTACCTTCGATGTATCTGCCGATGGCTTCATTAGTCGCGAAGGATAAGCCCTCGGGCCTGATTTTGTCGAAAATTCTCACGTAGTACGATCCGGGGTCCTCATGAAGGAAACCCGCTCCATTTGCGACCTGCGTCATTGCTGAGCCGCGTCTGTACTGCGGACTGGGCTTATGACTCAAATATGTGTCTTCAGGAGGTGGAATTGCTGGCGTGCCCGGGGCAGGCACCGCCCCCTGGAGCCTCGCACGCTCTCGAATGTCGGTGGAGGTCTCAGCACTGAGTCTGCTCGGTCCCCCTTCCGGAGGACTGATGTGAATTCGATCCGAGAGTCTGCTCTAAGCCAGAAATGGCGATTCCCTGTTCTTGAGAATCGGAATCCTAAACTACGTCGAACATTTTCTTCATGAACTTCTCTGCTGCGAGAACCATTCCTGAGGACGAACTCCCGAGAAGGCGTGTGGATTCTAAGCCCCGCCTGTAAGATCGAAGCAGCAACTCTTGATAGCATCAACAGAGAATGGATCGCTCTCTGGAGAGACCAGCTATGTCAGGTACACAAGGTGCGAACGACAAACGAGCGCTGCTTTGATTGTCGTTTGCATCGATTTCAAGGACGGTAGTCCCCTCCCGCCGGTACGCAGACTTGACTTCAAACACGGATGCTCCCTCGGGTTATTTTAGTAATAGAGTGAAAATCCGAATACTGAAATTATTCCCCGCGTGGGTGCTGCTTTATCGGTTGTCTTCAAAGATTTGCGGCAACAGAGTCAACACATGGCTGTTTTCATGCGGAGACCTGTTCCCTTCTCACACCCTTCAATCGAAATAGCATGGCACATGGATCGCAGCATTCCAGCCGGCAGCATTGCGAGCGTCGAGGGAACGATTTCGAGTCCAACCGGAAGTCGCGATCCACGCCACGGAGCGGTGTCATCTTCTGATTTTTATTTGGCCACCCGCATATTTTGTGGATGAACACCCGACACAAAGTATCAATGTAAGTCCTTGGCCTGTCGGATTCCACCTTTACCCAAGCACTTCATAGTGGTAACAAAGAACTTCAACAATTTGATTTGATCCTTCCATTCGATCAGCTATCCAGATCTGATGGTATGCACAGTATACCGTCTTGCAAGACAGAGTAACAATTGCTGACTCGGATGTGACAATCCTGCAGGCTCGTCGACAGTTCATCGGATGCTTCAAGGAGCGCTGTGAGACATTTCACCTGAGGAAAGATCACGGGGGCTCATTCACCGGCCAGAGAATGATTCCGCCACGGTCTGCGGATGGGTGGGGAATCGAGGCATATTTTGCTTGATACAGACCATGCGGAATGAGGAAATGGTTTCGTCCTTCGAAAGCTCGCGGAGTCCAAGTTTCCACATGACTTGCGCATGCAGCTCTTCTTCTTCGAGAATATCGACAGCATGTCTGTAAACGTGAATTAAGTTTCGAAAAAGCTAGAATTTCGATTAGAAAGAGCAGGAGCGCAATCGCTCGGGGCCGAAACCGTGGTGAGGTCATTTTTATGTCTAGCCTATAATCCCAGACATGTTCCGGAAGATTCCCGCGACTCCAGATTCAAGTAGGTACATCAGATATCGGTGAAGCTGTATTTATAATTTGAAGGTACGCGGGATCCGTGAAGCTGACCTGGCCATGGCCTTCTCCGCGAGTGGCAAGCTGCTCTCGAGGAAATCGACGAATAATTGAGCGGGACACGATGCAGGGACGATGAGCTCCCCGCTATGAGACACCATCAGCGGTCCAGCGTCGTTCTCAACGATCAGGGAGAAAGTCGAGAGATCGTCAGGAATCGCAGCCGGAAACTTGTTCAACCATAACCACCTGGGGACATCGGACATCGCCAGAATTCAGTCGATCAAACTCGATGATATCGCAAAAGTCCGAGACGAGGATGCTAAATTATTCGAGATGCGCCTCCGATATATTGAGGCAGAGGCTTTTGCTAAGGGGTTCCGCTAATTGAGAAAAATTCCACCTTTCGCGAATAAATACCTGTGCAATGTTTTCGTGAGTTTGTCGACTTGCACCAAATACTTGTAAGCAAGAGTTCTGCCGTGCAATCTCTCGTGGGAGATCCGTATACCTCGGAGAACGTCCGTGAGTTGTTTCTCTGAATGCGGTACCCAATCTACAAATCTGCGAAGCAAGAACAGTCTTCTCGAAACCGGACGGGATGGAATTCATAGATCAGACAAGCAACTGGCTGCCTGGGAAATGAAGCTCGGGCGGTGGAACTTCGCGCCGCAATCGTTGTGCAAGCAATGAGAGCAGCTCACTTAAACTCCAATCATCTTTTCCATGAGATAGCACTCACTTGAACTGCTTGTCGACCTCACGAAGGAATCTGAGCCAATGATGTCTGACTTCAGCGCTCGACAGGATGATATTTCCTTCGAGGGAAACTCCCGTCCACTGCCCGAATATCAAGGTGCGATTCTCGAGTATGCCTCGTACATCGGAGTGATGCTCGTGAAGATTCAAAAGAGCCAGCAGTCCAGCTCGATAATGAGCGATTCCCCATCCACAGTCCCACACAACTTGCTTCAAACCCAAGGCCGAGAGCACTTGAGCTTCGACTCGGTGCGTTTCTTCGTACATTGGCTGAGCTAGTCGCGAACGCTCCAAGGCAGCGTCAACGTTTTCTTCAAGAAACTTATTGAGCGACATTTTCTTCGAAACATCTGGGGCTCTGGAGAACTCATCCTCATGTAGGTTCCAATACGGATCACCTTCTCTCTGGTACCTGCTCGGATGATGATGGAAGGCGTCATACGGCGATTGCGTCCGGGAGTAAGTATGAGATGGTATTGAAGCCTTCACAGAAATCGAGCAAGACGCTCACCCATACTGGTCTTCCTTGAAACTCGAAGATTCCCGGTCGTAGGACGTTCCCGTTATCTTGTCTATCGGTAGATCCACAAGCCTCAGAATGTGCTTCAGAGTGTCAACGAGTCCTCGGCCTCCAGCGTAAACGATACGAAGACGTCAGAATGTTTTCACTTTTCATAAGACAATCAATGACGTGAGAATGGATAAAGGGTGTTCTTCGTATTTACTCCTTGGACCTCCGCCTACCTCGTAAATCGACTGTGAGCCGTGTGAGCTGGGAAGATCCTTCCCTTTTTATGAAGAAGTCGAGTTTCCTGTTTTGGGGGGTCTGTGTCTTCGTCAGTGCTTCCAGATATGAGTTCAGATCCTGGGAATGAAACTTCTGATCAGTCGAGCTGCGGCGCGTATTTACCGTCATCAAGAGGATCCCTACTTCGTCGACCGGGGGAATCGAAAAGTTGAAAAGGGATCGAAACGCAGTGGATCAAGTACTTTCGGGTGGATAAAAGTTTCGCTTACCTTCAGCGAATCTTCGTTCGTTATCCTCGCGTTCGGGAAATTCATGAACATATCAGGATGCACCTGAACGAGACGGAGCTCTCTTAGTTATCAGGCGGGGCATGAGAAGAGCCCCTGATGGGTTCTTTCGCAGAGAGACTAGGCTCCGAGCGATCGATACATATTCGATCCAATGGGAGCTCGCGAGCGAAGGAAGCAAGGGGGGCTCCTTCCATTCCCTGATTGTTATCGTATCGATGACTCGCTCCAGGGAGCTCGCAAGCCCCCGGAGATATCGACTGCGCACTGACCTTGAGATAAAATGGTCGGAGCGCCGCTGAAACCTCGGCCCATCTCATGCGATAAGTTGCCGATGTGTGGAAAAATCTGAAGCGGCAGAAGAACATTTTTCGCTGTTTCAGGTCGAGAGCTTAGCACCCGGTCAAAGCCGTCGAGGCCGAAGTTCCCATCGCCGTATCACTGGAGGCTATCTGAAAGTGGCGGTCACAGGGGCACATCGATCCTCCGTTGATCATATTCGACTGATTGGCGCCAAGGAGCGGCCCAACCACTCGCTAGCTCCCCATTCCGGTTGTTAGCTAGAATCGTCAAGCGTCCGGCGTGTTAGAGTGCGAGAAAACCACCGTGTGGACTCTCAGATGCTCAGTCAGAGATAGGATCAGCTGGCGGTCGAATCGAATGATTTGAAAAATGGCGCGCTGGGCTCTCGCAGTTTCTTGAGTGAGGGAATCTGCGATTCCCGGAGGAGTGTCGAATTCCTTTATTCGTTCGCGCTCGGCCAAATAATGATCTAAGATGGGAAACAGCGGAATTATGAGCACTCGGATATCAAGTTTATGACGAGCCGTCATGTTCTTAAGGGGAGATTCCCCAGGCTTCGAGCAGCGATCAGAGGGGCAATATGCACAAAGACAGGGGTGAAATTTCTCGGCACTGGGGAGCCAATAATTTCGCCAGGGGCAACGTCTCCTGCAGCAGGTAACGGTAGAGTAACACCCCTGCCTATTACGGGATTGTTCGTTCCGCCGGAGATGGCATTCTTCGTTTCTGCACAACATTGCTGAACATTGGCTCAAAAGTCCCTGCTCGGGTGTCCGTAGAGCGTCGATGATTGGTCTATTCATCCGGGTGATCCGATTCGATCCTTCGAGATGATCTTTCACGCATGATCTCTCGCCGCTATGCCTCTGGCTGAAATATGTAGTGTTGTCTTGGATCGAATTTTCGTCTGACGCCCGGACAGCCCCGCGTGATGCACGTCTGTACAATATGCTTCCGATGACAGCTGTTGCGCTCTATGAAGGCTTACATGGTTTGAATCGAACTCCGCTCGTGATGTTTTCAGACGAGAGGGGCCATCCTGAGGTGAGTGACCGTGTTCCGCATTTCGTTAAGAGCGAACGACATCGCAACGATTCGCTCAGCTCGATCAGACGACTCAGGAGTCATGTGCTCCGAGCCGGCTGTTGCTTCCGCACCCGAGATGTTCGACGATTCTTCAGGGCGTATCGATCGGCGGCGTCTTCAACCAGTGGAGCTCGCTCGATATCCTAGCGCAATCGTTCTGGCTTTTCTTTCCTCCTCCGGGCGAGGAAAATTGACTAGTCTCCTGCGTCTCTTCCAGCCGACACGGTCGCCGGCTCCGGATGAAACATCACAAGCTTCGGACGCGTCGAGTGCTGCGTCCCAGACGAATGCGTCGACCGATGGGAACTGCTCCGACGAAGAGCTCCTGCTCACTCTCGACTCAGATTCGTCCGACATCGAGGACACTACGGAAAAGGAAGCCGAGACGAAGGAAAGAGACATCGGTGGAAGGGAGTCGCGGGAGCAGGAAGAAACAGATCCTTTCTCGTCCCTCGAAGTCCGTCTCAGCGATCAATCCCTCACGCCTACTCCGCCTTCCGAATCACCGTCGCCTGGCCCACACGCCCTTACTCAAACTATCTCGTCGGAAGAGGCTGTGGAATGGCAGTCGCAGCCCGTTCGCGAGAGTCAACCGTGCGAAGGAGACTCCGACGATCGTCTGCATGAGACCGGAGCCAGCAAGGGAAATGCCGAGCGAAGAGCCGAAAGCGATCGGGTCGACGATCGGGTCGATATCGTGTCGATACCTGAGAGTACATTCGACTTCTGGGACATTGTCAAGGATGAGCCTCCGAAGAAATATCCGCAGAAGATTCATTTCTGTGAGACTTTCAGCGAAGTCACGTTTTTCAAAGGCGAGCCCGCTTCCAAAGGGCTGTGTGGTATCAGGCGGAAAAAAGAGAGCGAACGGGAAATCATGCGGGAGGAGTCCGTCGCCGCAGAGTGGTTTCTCGAGGATTTTCCTTTTGAAGATATCCTCTCCAACGAACCCGACGAGGTGGAGAGCAGCGCGAGCAAAGCTCACGGATCAGGTGCGTCCAACACTCCGGCAAGGATGGAGGTCCCCAGCAGGAAACGTCCCTGGACCGAAATTCCCCCCGGGGTGAGCAGCATATCGGGATTGTCTGTGGAGCATCCGAGAAAGAGAAGGAAGCTCTCCGAGGGAGCGGACGAGGAGGAACGATATCCGCAAGAAGGCGGTCTCACTTCGGGGCTCGCTAAAGCTAGTCCAGCCCAACCCGAGAGGAAGAAGAAAGATCCTTGTAATCGACTCCTCCAGAGATGGTCATCTACGGGAGGGGGTCTTCTCCCAGCTGAGAATAGAGAATTGACACCCCGGACGGAGAGTCGCAAAAAACCTCGCTACACACCGGAATTCCTCGCCCGGGTCAATTCACGGTGGAACGAAGCGGTAGCCCAGCCACGAGAAGAGTCGGAATCCGCTGCTGCGCCTCGTCCGGCTGCGAGCGTGCGGCTCGCTTTGAGAAGCTGTTTCGCGGACATAAGGCGCACTATCTCGAGACGGTGAGTTCGGATTCTTTGCTCATTATTCGATTTCGTGAGGGGAATCGTCCCGTCTTTGCATTGGAACGGCAGTGCGATCGATAGTACGACAGTATATCAAGCATTCACTGGTCTGTTTCTGAATGCCCTGGTCGAGAGTGTTGAAGAGCGATCGAATTGAGTTAAGGTCCCCTCGTGGCTCTCCTTACTCAATTTCAGGATCCCCCAGGTGCTAATAGCTCTCGAGAGGAAGGAGAAAGTTGATCAATTCTGCCAAGGCATCGGGGAAGAGCTCACAACCATGCTCGTCTCCGTGGAAAGTAGGATGAGAGCCCGGATCGAGAGAATTAGGGTATGCGCGAATAGGAAAAATTATCCGAAATCCCTATGGATACGAAGAAAGCGTTTGCTCATTTTCAGAGCAGAAGGACTGAACTCGAGGCGTTTTCTCAACAGGCAAAGTGCGCGAGACTAGCAGAACTGGAAGAGAAAATTCTCCCGACGGCGTCGATGGAATCCAGCGTCGAGAAGCTGCGTGCCGCAGCCGATACGACTCGATCTGCGATCGAGAGCTTGCGATCGGAGAAGGTTCGTGATGGCTCGGTCATACCGGATTCTCATGCAACTAGGTAATTCCAGAAGCTTTCGACGACGCGCTTCGGAACGATCATGCTTCATGGTCTCCACGTCTGTTGTGAGGTTCGGTGACCTTGAGCTCACGAGGTGTTTCCTTGCTTTCAATAGGAGCACTCCACCTTCGAGGCGGCGCTCCTCGAGACGCACCTGAGACTTTTCAATAGAGTTTCGGAGGAAACGGAAGCGCAGCTCGAGAGGAACGACGCGGAGCTTGCCGAAGTCGAAAAGAGCTGTGAGGACTTCGAGAAAAACATCGCAAGAAGCAAACGAGTTCTGTAAGCTACTGCTCTCTTGATTCCTGGATTAATCTAGCTCCGAGATTGAGCGCCCCAAACCGTCATGTCTCTGTCATGGGGATGCGATATTTCAGGGAGGGGAATTCCGAGAGTTCCGAGCTCATGGGGGACCTTGGTGCGGCTCTGCGAACTCGAGGTGAGTCAGTCCACTGCAGTAGCCAGTCACGGCCCTCAGCTCCGACGCATGGCGCTCTGGAAAGCGTTCGGGCTCGCAAGCTCAGCAGAATTCCGCTTGACTATGGTCCTCAATCGTCTGGGTATTATTTGCCATTAATTTTGTTTGGACAGATTCGTTGCAAGCAGAGCTCGAATCCGTCCGAAGGCGAATCAAGGAGCTGCGCGACATCATCGACTCACCGGACTCACTGAAAGTCAAAAGAATCATGGTGGCTCTACGCCAAGCAACGGACAATCTCGTAGCAATTAGAGGTGAGCTCCCCGTCGAATCGCCTCGATGATTGCCGCGGTATAAAATTATGGCGACCAGCGAAAACTGGTTTCCAGAGATGGAAAAGAATGTCCTATCCTTGTTGATCGTTCCCAGGACAAATATCAGATATCGAGGCTGAGCCGTCCGACGGAGGAAATCCGGAGGTGGAACCCAATGTGCGAGTGTCGATCTGCCGATTGGAGGATTTGCTGAAATCAATCTCTCGCAGAACCCTCTCCACACAGACAGAACTCGCGGTGAGCAGCAGATTCTGACGTAACGTAGATCCTCTAGCAGCCTCCACTACTCGCGGAGCGTGATCCCTGATTGATTGGCATGAAACGAATGCTATGGTAAACTTCTCTGATAACAATCTCACTCCCCTCAGATGAGCCTTGTCAAGAGCCTCGCGATCAACATTCCGCCCGAAGTTGGAGATCCGACTCCGCCTCTATCGAATGGATCGCATAGGTCGTAATCGCGATACGCCGAAGATGTCCGTTCTGAGGCCAACGATGCCATCCTTTGGAACACGTTGTGTCATTCGACTTCCTTCGGGCGCCCTCACGAATGGATCAACTATTAGTGTCATCTCCGAGATTAGCTATCCAATACGCTGACCTCGTTCAGCTCGATGATCTCATAGCTCGATTCGGGTTTGTATCCAGTGAACTTTGACCAAGACAATCGGATCCACGAATCGTGAAATAGTTTTTCATATATCTCACATAGTTTATACTCATCCTGACTCCCTGCTGTACTGACCGATGAGTCGCGGACTTGGCCAGGTCACCCCGACGAGAAGGGGTGCTAAGGTAGATTGTGATATTCAGCGCTTGATTACACTAATATCTAAGCTGCAAGTAAGTAATCGAACATGGTCGAATTCGTTTGTTTAATAAAAGGAAGCTCTCTCGATACGAGAAATCTTTCACCCCATCTATTCATTTATCTTCAGTCAGCGCTCTTTTCCTTATCCATCCAACGAAATGAATACAACAATTCATGAGTCGTTCGGATGGAAATAGGAATATCCCCGGCTCTCGATTCCTAGCCATCGAACGCCTCCGGGAGAACTCCACCGACATCCCAAGTGAACGTTGCTCCTCAAGCAGCTCGCATTTTGATCTCCGCTTTCTGCGCGGGGTCGGGTTTCTCCCAGGGCATTGGCGGAACAATATCTACCGTGCGAGGTCCAAAGCAAATATTCGAAAAGCAAGGGGTACTCTGACAAGGTTTTGTTTTATTTCGTTACGAGGAGCTGCGACACGCCCGGAAGTTTTTCTACTCATTTATTTTTAGGAGAGTTTCATCATAATTCCTCGAACGGAATCTTCATCGTCGGATGTCATCGGGAGTATATGTCCTTTTTCGAATATATATGTACATACAACAAAGTATTTCCCCAGACGAGCGAGCTGTCACATCGTTCTGGTTGAAATCAGTTCGCCTTCTCATGCTCACAGGCCAGTATTAAGAACGATGACTCCGAGTCCGAGTTGGGTCCGTGATCAGTTACAAACGTATCTGGGTAGCAATGCTGACGGAGGAAATGAGTCCTCTCACAATTTTCCTTCGCTCTTTCAACAAGGCCGAGAGACACACATCGATGGGCATTTCTTTTTTCTCTTGTTAGCTAAAACTAATACCGGTGATCTTTCTGATAGATGACTACAATGTGTCCTACAATCACAAATCGACGCGGTTCGACAAAGCTCTACGCTCCGCAAACATGAGTAGCACGCGCGGTGTACTGGCGCGTGTCAGAAGGTGCGGAGGTACTTATGAAACAGATCGGACGATGAAGCGATGGATGCAAGGATAAATAAATGATTGTGACCGCTTGGTTAACTGATCGGCTAGATCACCTCCGACTATGGACGTCAAAGAGCCGATTATTCCACTCCGGGTCCACCCGCCGATCCCGGCAGGTCCACCCCGGGTCTGCGTGTCCGCCGGAAGGATCGCTCGGTGAACGTGGTCACAACACTTACGATTTTTTGGCGGCCGCGGCCTTTTTCGGAGCGGCGGGTTTCTTGGTTTTCGCGGCTTTTTTCGCAGGAGATACAGATTTTTCTTCGGGAGAAGCAGGCTCGGGCTCTGCTTCCTTCGACTTGGCTTTCACAACCTTGGGTTCCTTCACTTTCGCGGCTTTGGCTGGGGACTTGACCGTCTTCTTGACCGGAACCTCCTCGGGTTCCGAGGCCACGGGATCCTTCATCCTCTTGGTTCTCGGTGCTTTCTCCTTGGGACTCTTGGGAGCTTTGGGACTCTTAGGAGCTTTGGGACTCTTAGAAACTTTAGGACTCTTCGGGCTCTTGGGAGCTTTCTTCTCGGCGACTGGCTTCGCCGCGGACTTGGTGGTTGTTTTTTTCTCCTTGGGCGGAGCCTTGGGCTTTTTCTCCTTTTCCTCGGTCACGATCTCGACGTCCTCCTCCATTTCGCTGCCCGAGCCGTCGCCTCCGTCCTCAGCAGCCTCGGCCGCCTTGGGCTTCTTCTTTTTGGGAGCCTTTCCGGCATCGGGTTTCGAATTCTTTTTCGATGCCGTCGGGACCTTCTTCGCAGCGGCAGGTTTCTTTGCGAGTTTGAAACTTCCGCTCGAGCCCGTACCTTTGACTTGGACCACGGCTCCGTTCGCGATGGCGCTCTTGAAACCTACCTTCAAGCGAGCCGCAATCGCGTTGGGTTCACCTCCGACCTCGAAATTCGACAAAATGTACTTCTGAATCGCTTGACGGCTCGAGCCGCCGCGCTCCTTCAACGTGGAGATCGCTTCGACAATCATGTCACTATACTTCGGATGAGTCGGCTTTTTCGCTTCGGTCTTTGGGGCGGCGGCGACCTTCTTGTTCTTCTTCGGTACAGCCTCTTTCTGAGGACTGGAATCAGACTGAGCGCTCACTTCCTCGGCCATGGTGTGAGTTGAAGGTTACGCGAAACGCTTCCCAAGTGCTCTCAACGGCTGATCGCGCCAACTGAGGTGAACATCGCGTGTCGCATCGCTCAGAAACGCACACGACACTTCACACGTTTCGGAACTGCAACCATCGCCCCCTGCTGGAGGAGTTTTTCGCGATAAATTCGCGCCAGAGGGCCAGAGAGTCGACGAAAGGCTCGTGAGGAAGAGTACGGGATCCAAATCAGCGGAGTTCTCTACTCAGCGGTTTTCCGCGCACCGAAACCAGCTGGGGCCCCTCGATTCATCTATCCGAAGTTTTCTGTCGTCTGAAAAGATGGAACGTGCAATGGAATGAAGAGGGGGGTTCAAGCCAGAGCTTTCACACTGCACGCATTTTTTCAAATGATTTCAGCTATTTGATTGGGCCTCCTCGCTTTCGATGGAGTCATCGGGATCCTTCAAGAACCTATTTAATTTATTCAATTCTTAAGAAACTTGACTAGAGTGCTTTCGTCCTTCCCTTGTCTGTCCAGAGCTTTCCACTCCTCGCTCCCAACATGACGTATGTACAAGTCTGGTCGAGGTCGTCAATCGGGAAGGAACATATTCCGGGGAATTTTCCATCGAATATACACAAGCCCCGACTCAGGGCTCACAGGATCGGGAAGAGACCGTATCATTATCGCTTCCCTATCTGCGAGAATTATGAGATATTATCTAGAGGTCCAGCTGTGCTCCGCAGATCCAACATTTGATTGAGATTCGATTGCTGAGATGATGAAGGTCCTGCGCCCGATGGTCCCGCCGAAGTCGCGTGTCCAGGGGCGCTCACCGGGCTCAACAGCTCGTCCACCGCCATGTGTATCGCGGTCCTCTTCTCGGTGGTCACTGCAACCATTCCAGTGACGTTCTGTTGCGCGATCTCGTCGAGCACGGCGTGGAGTGCTTGAATTCTCGCTTCGAATCCCGCCGGGTTGGTATGCTGCATCATGACCGTGGGAGCGGTCTCATGCAGCAGCTGCAGGGAAGCGCCCACCGTGCCCAATGAGAGGTCCGAGGGAGCTGCGTTCGCCGCATAGAAAGGATGCGGAACGGGTACCGGGAGCTGCGCCACGTGCTGAGTGAAAACGGGCAAACTATGATGGAAGAGCTCACTCGAGCAGCTGGGTGCTGGATGCGGCGGCGCTTGCTGAGCCACGGTGCAGCTGGCGTAAGGTTGGAACAGGGTCTGTTGTTGTTGTTGTTGTTGTTGCTGCTGTTGATTCCCTTGTAAACTCAGGGAATTCGAACCGTTTGAAGCGCCCTGGGAGGAGCTCATCTGTTCCGAGGGAGCTTCGAACACTGGGTCGATCTCCGACTCGAGAGAATCCTCAGACTGTCGGCCGTCGTTGTTGGTGTCGTCATTGTCCGCTTGATCTTCCTGATAGGGAGCAACAGGACTATTCGAACGGTCGAACACCGTGGTTTCAGATTGCGATGCCTCTTCGTCCACGGAGATCATTTGAGAGAGTTGTTGCTGTTGTTGTTGCTGCTGCTGCTGTTGCTGTTGGGAGGGCGGTTCCGAATCGATCGAATCAAACGAATGCTTCTCTTTCGTGTGTCTCTGCAGGTTGCCCTTTAGAGTGAAAGTCGCACTGCACTCGGTGCAGGAAAACGGTTTGTTCTGACAATGTATGGCCATATGGGCGCGAAGATTGTGTGCGCGTGCCAAGCCCTGAAAAGAGAATCGAACCGTTCTTTAGCTGAACCGGATCTTTCCTCAATAGGCAAATCGGAGCAGTCTACGGATTCGGTGCCCTCGAAGACAAGCATACGTACTTTCCCGCAGGTTGGGCACTGGAATGGTTTGACGTCGTTATGCGATACCATGTGCATTTTCAAGGTCTGGGGCTGGGCGAATCGTTTGGAGCACACGGGACACTCGAAAGTTTTGTGAACACTATGTATGAAAAGGTGGCGTTCCAGATTAGCTTTTATGCTGAAGCTCTTGTGACAAACGTGACACGTATGCGGACGGAGGCACTGGTGTGTCGATTGTTGATGCACCTGCGGGGAAAATTTCATATATTGAGTGCCCCGTTCCGCGGGAAGCCCAACCAGGGTCGGGGTTCGTTCTGGAAGTTCTGGGAAAAGGACAGCGGGGGGAACGAGCGAGTGCACGGACCTTTAGGTGATGCTCCTTCATGAATCTTCGCCCACATTCCCCACAAGGGAATCGCCTGATATGCGTGTGGACGAACATGTGTTCTCGCAGCTGGCTGGGATATTGGAATGACCTATCGCAGAATCTACATTTTTTATCTATTTCGTTGGCGCCGACACCGCTGCTCGTAGCGACCAAGCCGCTGTTGCTCGCAGCGTTGTTGCTAACACAGCCGTTGGCGCCACTGCCGGCGAGGCTATTTGTGTTGTTTCCACCGTTGTTGTTCGAGTTATTCAGGGTGCGTTGGGACTGTCCGCGGCTTGAGGACTTCCTCTGGAATATGAGGAAAAAGAATCGAAATTGAGAGAATCTCCATCCCATGAGGAGAGCGCCGGAGGCGTCAGGGTGGGCAAACCAGCAGAGATCTCACCTGCTGACGTGTGTAGTGCTTGTTCACATGAGCGTTGAGATCCGAGGGAAACGCGAATCGACGGGGGCACAATTGGCAACTGGAATATATTCGTGTCGGGTTGAGCATTGCTTTCCTCCCTTGTCCATGAATCCCGAATCATCCAAATGGCTCATGGCAACGTATTCGAGTATCAGGGCTCTCCCCGTCAGGGAAGAGAATCTCGATGTGATTGTTTCGCAGAGCGGAACTGAGCTTACGGGTACGTGGAAGCAGACCGGAGCTCATCGCCGTTCCTATGCGTCACGAGATGTCGTTTGAGATGTGTCAGCTGACTGAACGTTTGTTCACAATACGAACATTTATGCGGTCGCTTCCCTGGGGGGGAAGAATGATGATTAGATTAAAGAGAAAATGCAAAACTTTCCGAGATGTCAATTTCATTCAGGCACCGCTGGGAATTCCGTGAATTCCTCGAGTGATGTACGAACCTTCGTGGATGAGAGCGTGGGTATTGAGATGGGCCAGCTGCTTGAAGGATTTCTGACACTTGCTACATTCGAACTTGCGAACACCACCTGCGGATTCGAAAGTCAGAAAGAGAGTCAGAAAGGGCTCCTCGAATAAGACAGAATTAATGAGCTGGACTTCAGCTTCAAGGCCAATGTCCGATGCTGGTATGTGCCTTCAAGCGAAGGGTATCAGCTCGGGTGGACGCTGTTCTTCAACTTCATGACGTGAGAGATTCAGAAGTACCATTCGAATTCTGACGAGAGAGCACTTGTTGATGCGCCTGCGTCGACTGTGCGGCATCGTTCGACGCGTTGGTTTCTTCGCGACTCCCAGCGAGACTGAGACTCCCCAATGTACCTGGAATATTTTCCCACGCCTAATGCCAAGATCGCTATGAAAACCAATATACGATACCTCGTCGTGGGAACTGAGCTAACCGAAGCACCAGAACTTAATTCATTGAGCTCACCGAGAATTTGTTGTTGACTCAATGCAGATGCCGATGAAGGTTTATTGTAGTGGGAGAAGTCCAGCAGCTGGAAGCCGTGTATCGATATCGACTCCATTTCCGCTGAAATCACCGATGTCCCGAGCTTAGATTATCATCCGACGGAGAGTATGTTCAACATCGATCGGATCTCCCCTAGGATCTAGAGGCATCGCGGAAGATCCGCCTTCAGAAGACGGTTCTTTGCCGAAATCTCGCTGCACTCCTCTATCGATGAACCGCTGAACGTGAACTCATCACAACACGGGCATGTCCCGAATCAAGCTTGATCTTCCTTCACATTGATTCTTCAGTTAGTACGCAACGCCAGGAGAGTGCTCCGGGGAAACCCATACGAGGTGACAGGATCATGATCCCTTCCGGACTTGTGGGATCGCCTCTCCCATTCGCTTGTCCTCTCGGACAGATCATCCGTATGAAGCATGACCATCATGTCGAATAAGAGAAGCTTTCCCCGTCATCAATGTCATCAATGCTCAATGAATATACATAGACAACGAATAATATAATCAGCCGAACCAGCCTGATTTCAAACTTTCTAGCCAATACCCATTTTCAATAACATACCAGCACCGGTTCGCAGAGCCTCGGAATACCATAGAAGGCACCGTCCTCCTCCTTACGCAAACTCGTCGGCTGAAACTCCCGAGGCTCACTTCGGATGCACCACTGAAGTCATGAATTTCCTCTCACAACATCATTTTCTTGACTTTCTTTCTCTCTCGATACATCCACCCCCGGTGAAGGCTGAGGGATCCAGATGCGACACTCTCGTGAGCCAAGGATGCCCAGGTATTCGGCCTCAGTTCCGTTTCTCGATAATGCTCTTTCCCGTCAAACGGAACTCAGTGGTGGCCGCAAGCTGCTTTTTGCTCGATGTAAACACTCCTGCGGATATACACAGCTGATTGTGACGACACGACGACAACAACGGTGGTGGCACCAATATAAGTGCTCCACGACAGGGAGGTCTTTAAGACTTCGACTGCGTCGGCGGATTTCTAGATCAGAACTGCCTTCTGCACTCATTTGAGAGCTCTCTGACAGCAGGTCGAACCTTATCCACGGTTCATGAATTTGCTCGACCTCGAAAGAAGAGAGTAGGACCCATCGAAATACAGTTTACGAAGTCCGTCATCCCCGTAGATATTAGATTCGATGCCGGCTTCAAGCCGCGAGGATGACAGCACTCAGCACTCTCTGCAGGTCCGGACCGGGGTCCGCTTTCGCATAGAATCTTGGATCCCGCAGTCTCAAGCGCAGCTTCAGAAAGACAGCGATTTTGCCCCTTCAGTCAGGCACTTGTGGAATCCTGCACGCTTCTTCGTGAATATAGGGATTGTCGGGACGGTCGAATGATCATCATGGTTTTATATGAATGAATTTATTTTCGAAATCCGTGAGGTAAGAAATCATTGTGACGAGCCTGAAAAGAAGCCTTCGAAGCGATCCCAACTGCCTGATATCCACTTGATAATTCAGCCGCGATAATGAGCGGATTCGGAAACACTTCGTTACTTCCGAAGACAGTCATATTGCACCGTGGCGGAATCATACTCGTGGTGGCCGAATGACAGAGTAGGTACATTGATTGATTCATCTTGATCTTTTCTATTCACATATGATCCTTCTCGATTCAGGGGCTGATTCCTCAATCCAGAGATTGATCCCTTTCAATTCAAGAAACATGCACCCGTGACCCGTGACCGAGCACGATGCGGGGGAGTTTCCACATTAGGAAAAAGTCCACGGCGTGACCAGGTGGTTTGAGACGTTTTTTTCCCTCATTCCCTTACTGCGGAACCGATGCGCAGGGGCCGCATCTCAATAAGAAGCCACCGCATGCACCGCCTAGTATCGGGGCGACATCATCAGGTTGAGCAATACCTGGCTCGTCTTCGATCTGAGCTCCACAAAACTTTCCGTGTCGTCTCTGATGCAGCTCCTGATGGCTCGTTTCGAGTCTGCCTGTGAGTTGCGAAAATTGGGAGAAGAAATTTTTCATACCAAGTTCGTACTAATTCCCCCGGACTTGTCGAGTTTTGCCGAGCCTCGTTTGCTGGAAGGTTTCTTACCGCAGCCTTCCGATTCCGATTCTTCCTCCGGACTCCTGACCGACCCCGATCTCCGAGAGTCCTCGAATCGTATCATAAATAAGGGAAAGCCTGGTCCGAGGGGGGACATACGAACAGAAATTCAGAGCAATAGATAGACTGGAAACTCACGCACTATATGGAGGCAGAGGAACACAAGGGGCTGTAGAAGGGACATGAAGCCGAAATCTAGTCCACATTCTCAAGGGAGGTGAATATTTTATGGAGTCGGTGACACCCGCGGTAAAAGCCACTCAATCAGACCCTCGTTGTTCGCCGCTCTGCCATCGTCCCCCATCCTCTCTGACTGACTTACTGAGCCATGTTTCTGAAGTCAGGTGGAGGAAATTCGCTCGCCTCGCTTTTAGCCTCGGTCGCTAACTGACGCGGTACAAGTCGATACACGAGATCCTGCTCCGGTCAGACGGATTCGTCCCGGCAAATGCTTCGCAGCCAATGGTTCAGGCTCATTATTACCTATCAGGATGAAATCCTCATCATTCGCGTTTCTCCCGGTCTGGGACATTCACTGCACCGTTTTTCGCCGTGATATCAGCTGAGCTGCACCGAGCGGGAAGGATGGGAGCAACCCGAATCCGCAACTCCCGGCCGAGCACCGAGGCATTCAATGCGTCACGGGAACGACTACGGTGGTCAGCGCCGCTGGAAATCGACGCCACTCGATGCTCAATGCAGGAGGTGTATCGCCGGTCGGTCTGATGGCTCGCGATAAAAGCACAAGTCTATCTATCCCAAACAATGTCAGCAATTAGGCTCCGATTTGCAGCGGTTACCTCACCCGATGTCCCCGTTGCAAACGAGCCAGCTCGCCGCCTTTATGACAGGGCTTTATCCGCGACGAAGCGCTCGCTCTCAGATCGTGGGCACTATATGCCGTCTCGGTGCGCACCCGCCCGCCCGCTCGCTCACCCACCATACCGGAGGGGTGCACTATGTACATATGTGTAGCGAGCGAGCGACAGATAGATAGACAGATAGAGAGAAATATAGAAAGACAAGAGTGGGGGAGAGAGTGTAATGTATCTGTTTTGGATGGGGGCGCGGACGACCGGTTGCATTATTCGTCGACATGAGTCAGGAGGCGTGATGGCGAAATGAACACTGACTTTGCAGCGCAGGCTTTGGTTTTCCTTGTACCTGAGCGGGCCGCGGCGCACTCGCGACCGCAGCTTCCGCGATGTTTCTTTTCCCGCCTCAACGGAAGAAGTTCAGGATGGGCTCCTCTGCTTGGTCTTCGAGGCCACCTGACGTCCCGTCTGTAAATACGGGAAAAAATAAACTCGAAATGCGGAATCGAGGCGATTCCGCAGGAGAAATCCTAATTTCACTGAATGGGGTGATGTTTGACTTTAATCTAATAGATTGATTTCCGTTTATTGTCAGTTACCGTCCTTCGATTTACGATCGTCTTCATGTTCGCGATCGTCTTCGTTATGCTCTCTCAAGGCGTTTCGTCATCGTAATCTAGCGAAGTTTCTTCTGTGTACAAACTTTGACTCTTTTCGAGTCCTTAATCGCTACATACATTGCAACTCCGATCCGTGTTCGCTCCTTACAGACCAACTCCGACCGTATACTTCCTGTTCACTCCATGGGTGACCCGGTCTCTGCCTCGATACTCCGGTCCGGCAGATTACCGAGGTTCCCTGAAGGTTTTGATATTTTGCTTTCCGAAATCGCTCAGCTTCTCCATCACTCCCGCCGCCTCCCTATCCCTACTCAGATCGGTGAGGGAGTGGGAGTTCGTCCTATTGTCGGGGAACGGATCTTGGCACCGTCTCCGGTGATTCCGTCTCGAAGCGTCTCTCGCTCATTTATTCGATCAATCAATCGACTCAATATTCCGATTCGACTATCGAGTAAGCCCGCCTATTGGATTTCTGAGGAAGAATACTTAAGGGCTTGAAGGTTCATCTCGTTCATCGATCCATCCCGCTTATGTACAAGAAGTGCCAACTACCGTATCCCTCCGATTCAGATTGTTGTAACTAGATACATTGCAATCCCTAGAGCTAAGAGTCGAGAACGACCGACGTCATCGGGTGCCGTTCCGGGATGGTCACAGTTGTCCGAATCCCCGGGATCGTCGTTATCAGCTGATTCCCCTCCATCGGATGCTCCTTCAGTTCCAGAGCACGTTCGAATCCAGCATCGAAGGCCAGCTCTGCAGTTGGGGATACCCGAAATCGTTTCCTGAACAAGAAGTCGTTGACTGGAAGATGAAGCCATCGGTGAGTGTTTCCCCATCCACGGAGCTCGATCGAGAGGCTATAGAGCGGCGATCTCCATCTCGGAATAGCTTTCGGAACTCTTGGAGAATGGGCTAGAGGGCGAGAGAGGAAAAAGGAGGAATGCATATCCCGACGGGGAACGGAGGTGAGAATTCAACGGAATAGCGGGAATTCAACGGGGAGAACGGGATCAATTTCTGGGAAATACCCCGGTTCTGTGCGGCTACGATTCCTCGATCATATTCTGCTCACCTGCGACAACGGAGGTCCAAGACTCGTTGGGGGAGCCGAGATGGGACTCTGTCGTAAGGGGTTCAGAGGAGGAAGCTGGGGCGGCATCGGATTCAAGGGTACCGACGACGGTGGTGGAGGCGGCCATCGAGGAGGTTCTGGGGCTGAACCGAAAGAACACAGCGTGTCCGCAGACGACATGACCCCGAACGGAGGTAGAGAATGCGATGGCAGCAAGGGACCGCCCGACGATCGGAACACCGAGGAGCTCTTCTTGCGTTTTTTCCATTTCGCCCGCCTATTCTGGAACCAGACCTGCAACAAAGGACATAAGGCGTTATCATGACTTTCTCGAGGAAGCTCCAAATCACGGTCGAATCATCGGCGAGCGGGTTCTTGTCGAGTATTCAGAAATAACCCTTCAGCCCTTGAGGGAGAACATCGATACGAGAGGAGCTATCGTGAGGGGAGTTCGAGCCTCGTTCCAGTAGGTACAGGCCTGCTCGGATCAAGATCCGCCTGTCCGTATCATAGTTCGGCCCCATGTGGAAGGGGTCACCGTTTCCCTCTCAGTCGCTCCGTTCGGGATCGACTGGCTGAGTGAGCTGTAGGACGACGGGCGAATCGAGGAAATACCAACGTCACGGGTGTCTTCCCCGACTCTGTTTCCCTTCATTCCAGCAGCTCGGGCTCAAGCCCAGCTTGGCTCTGGGAGCGACAACGAAATCAAGGGAACGAACATTCAATATCGGGTATCTGCCGGCGAGTCTGTCGTCAGGTCGTTTCACCGGTCGCTTGATCGGAAGCGCAGTCTTCTCTGTAGTAGTAGGAATTTAATAAAGAGCGCACCGTGGTGTCGCGTGTCCCGCAGTTATTCCCCCACAGCTGAGGCAGTCCTCTCGCATGAGCTCTATAGCTTTTCATCTCGCAGGTGGTTAGAGGACACGTGTACCTACCAAGTCGACACATGCCGAGATTGAGTTGCAATGCACGGTATTCGGGCGGGCCGGGAATGTTGTCGCTAGTCCGTTGATGGACTGCTCTATGGCAACGGTTTAATAAGCAGACCCTGAAATTTATCCCGCGAATACCTCGGATCCATCTGACCGGGGCTTGATCCACTCGGAGCTTTTCGATGGAAATCGACCCATAATTTCTTCAGTGAAGCAACAATCGGGTGAACTTCGGAATTGATAAACGATCGCTCAGGGACGATTCGCCGAAGAGACCACGCCAGACGCCATGTCGTCGAGACCTCGATGCCAAAAACGAAGTACGGAAATTCCGAGACGCTGACATTCTCTCGAGAAGCTCAAAGAGGCGAAGCACAAAAAGGCTGTGTTCTCTCATCTCGCAAATCAGGGAACCTTTGAAGCGTAGAGCCTTCTCGTCAGAGATATTCGTGATCCCCGTTTTCGGGTTAAATATCTGATCCGCTTTGCGGATATCTCCGGAGCTGTGGTCAGCGAATCGTTAGTGACAGTCGCTCGTTCTCACCCCGGACGGGCACGCGGTCTGACTCGACAGTCTCGGTGGAGACGAAATCCTGAGATTCCTGTCGATATCAGCTGCTTTTCGGCAATTATTGCTGATGTCGGGTGATGTCTCCCGGATAAGCTCGAGCGGGAGAAGACAGGTCCTCCAGGGGCACGTCAGTCGGGACGCCGGCGAGGAGTGAAACTCTCTCCCCTCATGGATATGGGAGGCAAACGCTCTTCTCTGTGCGGCGAGACCGCGGAACTGCCGGCATTGCGTCGTTGGTCGATCGATCTCCGCCTAGCAGTCTGCTTTTGCGAAGAGAGCGAGCGAGACGAGCCAAGAGGCCATGAGAGGGAATAGAACGAACTCGGAGGAGGGCGGACGTACGGACCAGCAGGGAAATAGGGGGAAGGGACCGAGGACGAGGTGACATCGAAAGCACATTTATATATGAGATGTGCGAGTGAGCGATCCGTTCCCGAGGGAACAGCTAATGGAGAGACACAGTGAGGGGAGTCGGCTACTGACTGAAGCTTGACTGGATGCCTGGCTAGATGGCGTACTGGCTGCCAAGAGAGCGAACGATGGGAAGGACGAAAGAAATGCCTTCGCTCGGATACATGGAAGGCAGCAGCAGAGATAACCGCCGCGGCTGCTCTTGCAAGCGAAAGATCTTTAGTGTTTCAACAAACGAGAGCCCAACGATATCTCGAAACGGATCGGTCGCAATCCCGACGGCGGACCGGGTACGCGTCATTCCTGCGTCCTGCAAGACTCCTGCAGCCCCAAAAGTATCGAGGTGGCAACTTCTTCCCAAATTCTATAGCTCGCCATTGCGGAAGCCAGAACTCGTTTGAGGAGTACCGCGGAGTCTCGACGAGAAAAAGTGTCAAGATGTTTGAAAAATGCTATTGAATATCTGCCTGATGAATGAGTGCATTTCACGACGTCCGCCGTGATTCACGGAGGGATTCCAGTCAAGCAGAGGAATATGACCCTTCGCACTACGTTGAGATTACTCGGGACTCGGGAGCAATGACGGCGCGTTGCGGGTAGCCGAGAGCACCGAGAGCTAGCCAGCTGAGGCGCGAACGAATTTGATGATCAAGATGAGAGCGGTGCGGTTTGGCTTCATGCACAAATCTGAATTTCCTCACCACGCAAGGCACGCCTCATTTGAGGATCAAGTGTGTATGCACAGAGTCTTTCACCACTAGAAGCGGGGGATCAGAGCTATAGAGTTGTGGCTGCCAGCCCCGGAAACGATCGCGACCCGGATGAATAATTCCGCCGGAATCGGGGATTATTCGAAATTCAGAGGAAACTGAAAACGAATAATTCAATCGGGACAAAGCGCGTGGTGAGGGTTCGACAACGATATCGACTCCTGCCTCTTCCTCTCCCCAGTCTCCTCCACAGTGCTCATTGAACCTCCAAGGTCCCGAGCTCCTTGTGGAATTCTCCTCAAGCCAACAAAAACCCCGGACTATTCTGACCGACAGCGATCTCACGATTCTTCGATCTTGTGGCTGTCTAACGCGCATCTTTGATGAAGCGCGACAGGGGACCTCCCAATGAGCCCACGACTCATTGTGGTGAGAGTCCTCAAAGACTATTCGGCACTGTCAGGAGCCGATTCCAGTCAGTTTGCAGTCTTCGGAGGTGCGCATTGGGATGCCTTAGTGATAGTTCACCGCTTGAGATTATGGCGGAGGGAATCTGTATCCAGGAACCGTAGGTCGAGACTAGTCAACACAACTTGTCTATAGAAACAGCGGCAGGACCAACTCCCCTCGGGATCAACGAGAGAAACTCTTCATAATGAATAGGTAGAACCGAAGTCACAGACAGATCACATCACTAGAGAGTCGCGCACGAGGGAAGACCGTAGATTAGGAGACGCTTTTCGGTAAATCGTGCCGTGAATTTCTCTCTCCTAGGAGCCCCCCAATTCAATCGAGCGGACCGCAGCAGAAGGGAAATTCCACTCAGGACGAGAATTGTGCGAATGGATAGGGATGACCTCGATAGGATTTCACGCCGATTTCTGGTCGTGTCGTTCCCCACACCCCCTTGAAACGCGGGAGAACAGGACCTGCCACTAGTCGGCGGACCCTGGCCATCAATAAGTTCACAAAAATCAGAAGCATTCTCAAGGTGTCGGAAACAAAGCGGGGAGTCCATAGGGGCGACCCACAATTTCTTTGAGTTCTGAAAGGGCCTCAATCCTGCCTCTCGTTGTCTATCTATGTTTGAAACAGCGGCGAGAACTCCCGAGTCTCCTGAAGTCGAATTGCGGATACGTCGGGGTATCCCCGAAGCGAGAAATCACAGAAGCTAGCAGGCCATCGCGATCGCTCTTTCGATCATCCCTCAGCTCGGCTCGGACCTGTTCTAAAATTTCGGGATTTTCCTGGGACTGAGTCCTAGCGTCGAGTTGCGTCATTCGATATGAGGCAAAGACATCGGAATCCGACGAGCCATTCTTGGCAACGGTTACTCCACGCGCTTGAGCTCTCATAGGAGGCAAATCGAAAGAAACTTCAGAGCCAACTTCAGAGGATCTTCCTGTCTATTCGCAAGAGGAACTCCAGGGAGTTCCATGATAGCGAGCCGGAAAAATCGCGGGAAGCAAGTTCCTTTCGTCCGACTCGAGTCACTTCCGCCACTGAAGGAACCTCGAAGGCCAGACAGTCACATTTCTGTCTATCTGTTACCGCAGTGTCCTCTTGGCTTCACACACAGCTTGAGCCTCCGCTGCCACCGCCGCCGGCCGCGGAGTCTGTGCCATAATGCAGTGGGGTCGTGAGTTCTGTGGTGCAAGTGGCTCGTCGGAACGCTCGAACCCGATGCGCTTGGCGGAGTCAGCCCATCGTCGCCCACGTTCACACTCGCGAGGGCCAGCGCTCTTTTTCTAGTCGGGGTTTTGATCGAGACCCACCCGCTGCTGGAGGAAGGCCGACATCGTTTTCGACTTTGCTGAATGCCGACAATACCGGCGTTCAGCGCGAGTGAGATGTCAAAAAATCGACTCTGCGAGTGAGTTAGAGACAACCGGTAACACGTAATTAAGAACGCTACACTCGAGGAATGGCGGAGAGGAGAGCGTTGGTAGGAGAAGTCCCTCCTCCTACCGCACAGACGCTCCGCCCAAAATCGATGGAAGCAAAAGCAAAAGGGAGCCGAAGTATATCGAAGCTGTCGATTGCTTTTCCCGGACACAGCAGACATTTCCCACTTCTTGCTGCTGCTGCTGTCGCCGCCGCGCCGCCGTTGTCGTCGTCGTTGCCACAACCCCCGGTGGAGCCGCTGCGCCGGTGCTGCCACCCTCTACGTCCGGGCGTGTGTGGCACAGAATTCCATCGAATGCTTGAGCTTCTGCACGCTCGAGGACTTCGCCGGGGACGAATGCTGTTCCCGGAAACCCCACGGAGGAGTATTGCGAATTCGCTCCCGAAACAATCGACTCGTTCCGGGCAGCTCTATTCTTTTTCCATGGATGCGTGAATGACGAATTGGTGAAAATTAAAGAAAAAAACCAAGGACGGAAATTTTCCTTCGACGAAAACCCACCTGAACCCGCGATTCAGTGAGACCGATGCGCATGGCGAGCTCTTCGCGCATGAAAATGTCAGGGTAGTGGGTTTTAGAGAAACTTCGCTCGAGTTCCTGCAACTGAGCTGGGGTGAATCTTGTACGGTGACGTTTCTGCTTTGATGAAGGCTTATCCTCACAACTGCTTGTAATAGTTCCTGGAAGGATCGAATAAGTCAGTTGTTTCCGTCGCGCCGTCATGAATAATCCCTCTGGAATCACTACAAGTCCCGGAATTCCCCTCCGCCGTTGTCTGGAGTCTCTGCACGGTTACCCGCTTCGTATGTCTACCGCAATCTCGGATTCCTTGCCGTGTGTCTGGCAAGACCATATTGTAATTTTTTGTCCCTCGTAAAAATTTCACTTAAAATGTATCTGTATCCCCATGATCTCGTCCATCCGTTTCATTTGTTGTCTGAGAGTGTTTGTCTGCTCTCGGTACGTCTGTCTTCCGACACCGTATCCCAACGCTGTTCAATTATGCACCAGCGATGGCGGGACAACAGACAGCTGCTCTGGCATCCGCAGCATCTGTTGGTGCTCCGGATCTGATTGGCGTCTCGACACAAATATCATCGTAGCGCATACCAGGGAAGGAAGGAGCCATGGAATTTCATTCTTCCATCAATTCGGCTCATTTGCCGTGCCCTTCGAAAAACAGAGGAAGAGGGATTCCGGAAAAACGCGGGGACGTCGTACTTCCCGTCCGCCAATCATGTTTACCTGAAGACACGTTGTGATGGATGAGCTGAACGCCCGACGAAAGATTTCCTGTGTGATGCATCGAGATCGGTGGGTGCTCGAGCAGGTGGAGTGAAGTTTGAGGTGGGTTCTGGCCCAATGAAGCTGCCATAGAGGCCGATATTGGGCCTCCGGAATCGAGTGACTTCATCGACCCCGATATGAGAGCTTCGGTCGACGACTGTGTGTGAAGTTCATCTTTGACTGAAAAGAGCGCATTCACTTGTAGCTCAAAGTTGCGGATCCATGCGATTGATTCACCTACGGCGAACGGGGAGGTTTCATCCGGGAGCCGAACGGTCGAGCACTTCCGATGCAAAGCGAAAAACGTCGACGCATCGATGGATGATATTTTTCGCAAGGATGGATTATGTTCCAGGGGATGCATCGGCCGATGTGTTTGTCTCTACCGATGCCTCGGATGTGAGTTTGGTGTTGCCATGCTGCCGACGCGGATGCAGGAGTGGGTCACTTAAGGCTTATTGTGGGCAAGCGAATCCCGAATCGGCTGGGTGGGCAGACGGCGGCGGGTGGTCAACCAGCCGGGCCCAAACAGGGCAATACCGGTGAATAATGATACTGATGGCGTTGCAATAAACGGGAAAGGCTCTCATAAATACTGACCGTCCGCTCTCTTCGGTGGTCGACGGGCTCCGGTCGAGGAGAAATAAAGCCACCATCGGTACTACATATAACGGAGCCCACTTGTAGTCGAATTCAAGGATGATTTTTGGGGATCGCCGATGTCTCAGTTTAAGGGTATGAAAAACGCCGTCCGGTGCGATGGATGGGTTGAACACAACTGGTTTATTATTAAGAACATGCACATCGCTATGATATGGAGAGAGCCGCACGCGGCTTATTTGAATCACTTATCTCTTCTAAATTTTACATGGACTAGATCGTCCAATCTTGGATTAATTGACACCACTTGACGCAGAGCCGAAGTGTTCCCGATCCGACTCTCGGTTTGGGAGGATCTCCCTGCCTCAATCATCTCGCTCCCTGGTCAGAGGCCGTCTAAAGAGAGAAGACTTTTCGCCGGAACTCCACCGACCTCCCCAACGATCGCGAGCCGACCGGTCTCGATCGGCGCTTGAGACCGACTACAGATACGCGGTGGGTTCGTCAATTCACCGTACCACGCTGCTGAGAGAATAGCTCTTTGTCCGACTGACGGTGAGTCTGACTGGCACGAGCAGTCGGAGGGACCGGTTAGACTCGGGCGTTTTCCATCGAACGTTTCGAGGCAATACCAAGTGCCCGGTGGGGGGTCTATTGCTTGTGTTATTGCCCACAAACCTGGCGCGGCGGGCAGCCTGCCAGCGACTCGGCTGAGCGGCTGGTCTTGCACCTAGATTTGCGCTACCGGGACGAGTCTTCGAAGGGCGGGGAAGCGGGCGTGCAGGAAGACTGCATAGGAAGCCTTCTGGTGGGTGTCGGGTTCGAGCCCGTGTTCAGTGTTCACGCGTGCTCGGGGCTCTGTGCGAGAGGCTGCAGAGGAACTCGTGAACTACAACAGTGTATTAAGAAAACCGGCGAGTCTCAGCCGTAAACTTGTTTATGGTAGTCGAGGGATATCCGGAACAACAAGTTGAACAACAGGGTAATCGCCCCGCCCGTACGGCGCTCTCAGGAAAGAGGAGCGGAAAGGAATGAGGTACCTGAGTCGACGAAGAGATACAAGAGTGAACAGTAAGACAGGGAATCGAGCACGGAGATCATTGCATTGCGAGGGGGCCTCGCCTCGCTTTCCCAGAGACTTCCTCGACCCTGAATCGACGCGATCTGAGGCCAACATCCCGGTTCTCGTCCAACTCAATATGGAGATAAGGAGCACCATGCCTCGAGGAACACACAGCGGATGGACGGATTCGGTCATCGGATGTCTTCGGAAGGCTCACGTCAGCTACAGTGCCGATGACTACGAATGAATACGACGAGTGAAAGCTCCCTCTGCGGGTCGGGTTTCTGAAGGTTTTACCCCGAGGCAGCGAAAACCGCGAGATCATCCTCGTCCACGGAACGCGAATCGTGACGGATCTCGTTTCACTGAGTCCTCCGTTCTCGATTTCGTAGGAATCGACCAAAATTTCCCTGCTGCTGGCTGACCTCGGAGGCTGCGACTCGCAGCTGAATAAAATTATTATTCATCTATCGACCCGAGATCCCACCATCGTCCATGAGGCGCCAACTTTTTCTAGATTTCTTTCCCATTGGAGTAGAGTGATCTCCGTGAAGAACGAGAAATTGATTGGAGCCGCGACTAGGGGTCCATCGGTCTTACCTGCGTCGATGAGTGACGGCGGATTGCTATCGCAATAGTTTCTCAACAAAAGACTGAACTGGATTCGTTGGCGGTCTTTGCTCAGGGCTGATCCCAGAGAACTCAATGTGGCGAGTTCTTTATCAGCCTCGAGCACTTCGAGATCTCCGTGGAGATGACTTGATGGCCTCGTGAGGGCGGCTGACGATTCAAGGAGCGATGGCGGCAAGGCCATGGACAGATCGGCACCCGCCGATGCGAATCATGCGGGACGATTATGTTGTCCGCCCCGAACGAATTCCTGGAATAGGGAGAAATCGTTACAGATCTCAGACGATCACGTAATTGCAGCATGTACGGAGATTTGGCGTTGACAGAGGCTCTGCCTGGATTTCGGATCCAGGAAATATTTCCGTTCGGTATGCTCCGGGAATTGGCTTGTCTTTCCGTTTTTATTCATTCCGGAGCCGACTCCGGAGCACTTCGAAAGCGAGAGTTGTGGTCTCGGTTTCCGGCCTCGGGGTGAGCGCGGTTTCGACCTGTGCCTCTGCGGATGATCGAAATTTCACAGCTCGGATTCCCATGCATGGGTATGGATGTGTTTGTGCGACTCTGCGCGCACTGAGTCCTTGTGTTTTCTATGCGAAGCGTCGTCTCCGTTCCATAAGTTCCCATTGAAACTCCCCGCATGGCAGCAGTATGTTCCGCTTTCGCGAGCACAAAACGACAACTTATGGCCGCTCCACAGCCTCAACACCGAACGGGAAGACTCCCAAGAAGGACGTTGAAGACGACATGTTCGTGTCTCTTCGTTCGTCTCTGTTTTCCGTCGGTGTTGCCAGCAGACCTCCCATAGCAACTCTCCACGGCTTCATCCCCAAAACGTGTTCTAATCACGACTTAGCACCCACCAGAGCCGTCTGCCCAACCCACCGACCGACCATAGGGATTGAGATCCACGACCGACGACGACAGAACCCCTTGTCGGAGTGCTGGGTTCTGAATGTGGTCGCCGGGTGGCAACACGGGCGGCCCTCGAAGAACGAACGTTCGGATCATCTCTCATAAATTGTCTCGCCTGAATCCGCGGGATTTGCGAGAGCCAAAACCGCTTGAGCGTGACTCGAGCGAAAGATGGTGCGGCGATGCCAACAGAGCGACCGACCGCTCTGGCGAACTCGGCTGCAGCGGCTTGACATTTGCCGCAGGCAGAGGAGAGAAGGAACGAGAGGAAGGGCTTGCTCTCAACGATGAGAGGCAGCCGCCACGGTTGCTTATCGCTGGAGCTAAACTCTCACGCGTACACAAACGCGCGGACACATTCACACACGAGCGCTCTCGAAGACACATTCGTGCTGCTCGCTTGCCACTGCGCAGCTCTTCTCGAAAGGGTTGGGACGATGCAGCGATTGCACGGTAAATGAATTCACCTCCTGCATCGGAACGCCTCGTTTTTCTCTCGATCGCTCGGAGCTCGGCGAGCCTTGAGAGACAATCAGCAGAGGGGGAAAGAGTTCATTCGTGCGAGGTCGCAATCGGTCCCGTATTTTCACGAGCCATTTCCCATAAACTGTTTTCCGTAGAAAAAACGTCAAAAACTTAAACGGAAAAAACACAGGAAAAATCGCCCCTGGAAACCTTCAAAAATTCCGGACGCCCGTCGCAGACCGCGCGGAGTTCTAAGGTCCAATCATGAGCCTCACGACGCAGTCAGTAGTCAGATTCGTGAGAAAATATCCTCCAGGTGGCCTCCTGTATGTTTCTACCGATCGGGTCCGATAGACCCCGCAATGGCTGCCGAGGACTCGATCAGATCTACCCCGCAGCCCCCGAGTGGAGCTGATACCGTCAGGTTACGGTTCCTATCGGTGGAGTATTCCGATTTCTCTCGGTGTGAGGCTCATTCGTCGTGAATGCTTACGATCCTCACCAGAATGTCTTTCCATCGGAGAGGTACGAGCTGAGGTGTACCACGCAATCCCAAAAATCAAGGATGACTTCAGGAGACTCGGTGAGACTGCTCCTCCAATCATGAGACTCCGAGGCCACAGCACTTTGTGGTATACTAGCTCCGTACTGTCGGAACGATTCGAGTGAAATTCGACCCGAGAAATGGTTGAAACTTCTTCAAGACCGAGTACAGCTTGCTCCACGATTCGACGCCCCATTCCATAGCAGATATTCCGTCCTGAGTTTATGTATCGGCGTGTCTGGCTGGAATATATGGCGAGAGGAACCCAAAATATCCCGACAAAGGCGCATCCCCTGCCGTGTTCTGCGAACTAAGACCGAAGTGGCGAAGTCTCAGGTGGATACAATCAAGTTGTGCTTTAGTGATTCTCCCTCGTTTGTCGACGGAAAGCAACTTGATACCCGGGAGAAACCTGTTCAATGTGTAGTGTAGCGTGACTCCGCCAGGATTTGTGGCTTCCGAGCATTTGAGTCATGTCTCAGTCGAGTGATTTCTTCTCGACTTTCGCCCTGACTCTCTGTGTCGTCCCTAGCTCACCCGCTTGGTCGGACTGGCTGATCCTTATTCTCTTGAGGCGGCTAGTCTGCCGAGAGAGCAGTCAGCGAGCTCTGAGTCCCCTGACGTGCTTTATTAATTTATTACGCTGGACGTCAAGGAATCCCCCCATTAACAGTAAATTTTTGTCGTATCGAGAACCGATGCGACAGTGGGGTCATCAGAGAAAGGAAAGAACAGGACTCGAGCGGCTACAAGCGAAAGAAGGACGAACTCTGCCACTAAGTTGCTGGCTTCACAGGAGGCATCTCCGTTCAGATTTTCCAGGAAGAAGAGAACGAACACGCGAGCCGCATTCGACTCCACCATCAAAAAAGGATCCGATGGGGCCGTTTTCGCTTCGAAAATTGGGAACGTCCTGACCGGGGAGAGCAGTACGGGAGACGGAAGAGATCATCCCGTTGCGGGGAACTATGGACCATTGTAATTGTCTGCACAGATCGTACCGCGGAATGAGACCTGGGTCACTCACACCTCGGGTTCTCTCTTGGCGTTTTCAAATTCGCGCGTTGCCAGAAGCACGTAGTCGCTCAGAAGGGACAGGGGGTCAGAGCCTGAGAGAAAATGAGAGAGATGAACCCGGAATTCATCGAGGAATTCTCCCGATCATAGGACGGATACCCCTCGATCGATGGAGTACTCGATGCTCAGGGTCTCCGCGGAGAGGACCGAAAACAAGGACCATTCTCTGGGTTTCGGATGCTTGCGGGAGGAGCTCTCCGATAAGGAAAACTCGAGATTCGGTGAGCGGTTGTCAACGGAGTGTCAGAATCTTGACGTGATAACTGGATCGAGAAATGATTCTCATCCCGGGCTTGACAAGAACCCTCCTGGTTCTGACGGTTCTAAGAGTTCAAGGAGGGCCGAAAGGGGAGCTACTCAAGAACCGCACACGTTGCTTCTTCCGAAAACCCTTTCCGATGTCCCCCCGTCGATCCAATCCGTGAAGCGAATCGAGGGGTCGGTCCCGAAAAAGAGTGAGAGGAATTCGCGCCTGGATGATCCTGGTGC